GATCGGTGGTTCGATCCCACGCTGCCTCCTGGCTGCATGCCAAATATCCTTGGGCAAGATACTAACCCCATGTTTGCCTACTGGTGGTGGTCAGAGGGCCCGGTGGCGCCTGTGTCCGGCAGCCTCGCCTCTGTCAGTGCGCCCCAGGGTGGCTGTGGCTACAACGTAGCTTGCCAGTGTGTGAATGGGTGAATGACTGAATGTAGTGTAAAGCGCTTTGGGGTCCTCAGAGACTGAGTAAAGTGCTATACAAATGCAGGCCATTTACCATTTATTTTGCAAGTGTTTCAAAATGAACTGATCAAGGACGCCTTTAATTTATAGGCTTAAACATTTCCATCCTTTTAACAGTAAACATGAAAGCACCTTCAAGTATGGCCGGGCCATATGAGGACAATTCTATTTCACTTTTGTTTGTTTTTTTTAGTTTTTGCAATATCACGATGCGCAATATATATCGCAATATGTTTAAATAACCTGTTTAACCATTAGTGTTATATTTAACCACACGGAGTATATTCGATATATCGCCCATCCCTGTCTTCGAGCCAGTCAGTTGACAAGCACTGGGTAAGCATGTTAGTGTAATCACCTACTGTACAGTGCACATAATTGTGCTGTGTAATTGTACCTCCAGATCTTTTAATGGTGCTGTTTAGTGACCTGCATTGAATTACTGTAGGCGTTATAAGGAGCTTCTACTAGTGAGTGACAGCCGCTGGATGAATGCGAAGCACACCTGTGCTGAAAGCAGCAGACGCTACTTTACAATTACTCCTGAAGAACCAAAAAAAATGAAGGTTAAAAAATTCAGAAGGTGAAAGAGTTCTAGGAAACTATTTCAGAGTTAATCTTCGAACACCCGGTCTGTAATAGAGCTTTGCGCTTTGAATTTCACCTCATTTTCCTTCCAGTGTTGATGTGCGTGTGCATGTCTGCGTGAGAGAGTAAAAAAAGATGGAGCCTCCTCCAAGGCACCTACACTAATTGACTCATTTTTCAGAAGTGGCGAGAGATAGACAGACACTTGCACATTGTTAAAGGCAGCTCGTGTATAGGCGGAGTGAATTAGAAGCTAACTGGAAAGCTGGGCACTCCAGCAACACGCTACAGAATGCCTTTAGGAGTGAAAATGACCCCAGGATAATCCTAATAGTATTAGTCCAAAAGCTGCCATCATTACTTAGTGCGAGGAAAGAAGAAATGCTGACCTGCAATTTTGTCCAGCTATGCCTGGAAAGGCATTCGTGTTTTGCTGTGGATTCACAGACACTGCCTGGAGGTTCTCACATAGGCTCAGTGACACCTGAGGATGATATCTCTGTCCTCATTAGGAAGGGCTAGCTACACAAAAAGCTGAAGTGGTAAAAGTGTGTGTGTGTCTCTGTATGTGTGTGCGTGCGCTTGTAGAATGGTGGTATAACTGGGTTATTTGTTTCGTTACTGCATTTCCAATTGATTTTACTACACCTCATCAATTATATTGATCCAAATATCGATAGCATCAATACCAACGCTGATATTATTATTGGATCGTGATAGGATTAATACTTTATTTCTGTATTAATCTGTCGTCTAACTTCAGGATGCAGCTCACTGAGATGTATTAAATTCCAAATGTCAAAATGTTGCTGTGTTAACTCATCACAGTGATTTACTGGTCATTAAAATGTGTTCAGAATTTGAAAATTGATAATAATTCATCCCATAACTCATGACACACTGCTCTCCCCTACATACGCTGCCTACATGTTAAGCGTATTGATGCTGTTATCATACTGATCAGCATGCAGCAAAAGTTACAAAGCTCTATACAGAAAAGGGAAAAAAGTAAATGGAATGGGAAAACACAGAAGGGTCCATTAATCAGAGATATAATTATTAGTTCATGTTCAGAAGTAATCAGAATTCTAAAAGCAATACTTAACAAGTCGTCTCTGTTTACCCTGCAATGACCTGGAATTTCAAGGATGGATGGACGGATTTCCAGTTTCCAGTTAAAAATGTGAAATCTCTTGTTGGAAAAAAAATTATAAAAGGATGAAGTTTGTTTTTTTTAATCCCTTTAACTTTTTACAATAATCTTATTATATTTGTTAGGCTTTTAAATTGTAAGAAGAGAAGGATTAAATTAGATTATCTTCAAAACAATCAAAGAAAACAGTTCAGTTGATACGGGAGTATGTGTTTGATTTATGAAAATCGAGTAAATGTTAAACATCCACATACACTGTGAAGATCATCAAGTATTTTTTATGTATTTTCAAGCAAGTAGTGCATAAAGAGTGATTGAATCACAAAAGACCTAACCTATTACTGAGCCATTCTAATTGGTAGACACGGTACAAAGTTTGTATGTAATACTTGCCGTCACGTTGGAACGTATAATTTCAAATGTTTCTATTTATTTCCATATTAACAATGTAAAAATGACACATGCACATATAAGTGCCTATTTGTTACGCTGTTGTTGCTTTCAACCCTGGCTATGCATATAATACTCAGATCTTTGCATACAGTTATTCAAATATCATTTTTTCTGTGTAACTCAATTTTAAAAAGCTGTCATGCAGTTAATTGATCCATGCATTTGATGGTCTATGACAGATCTTTCCTCTTAACCATGTGTCACGTCTGCTTTGCAGCTGTTAGCCTGTTGGATGTCGATAATAAACATGCCACCCTGCGGTGAAATTTTCTCTTACATGATCCCTGTCAGCTGACGCGTATTGACTTAATGTTTGATTTAATGTGAAAGCTAATGTGCCCAAGTGTGTGTGTGTGTACATGAATCTGTGCTAAAGTGTGGGCGGGTGATTTGAGTGTTATGTGTTTGAACCTGTTGGTTATTTTGCACGTGCATATGTGTGCGGCTTTCCGCTCATATGTGTTTGGAGAAGTGGGTGTTTGTGTGTGGCTCTCTGTCTTTGTGTTTATGTGTATGCATGTGTTTTGCCCACTCAAAGCCTATCTTTATCCATCCTGCGATATCTAAAGTGGTCCATCTTCTTGTGGGAAGGTTCAGGCAGGGCCAAGACGAGCGTGTTGAGAAGTTAATGTTTTCAGGAGACTCTCTGTGAGTCTTGCTGAAGCTGCACCTGTCCTGCTGACTGTGTATGTCAAGCTGCACGGGGAGTGTTTCAGCTTCCTGTTCTGTATAGCCTCCGGGAGCGATTGGACCTCCTGGGCTATTACAGCACGTCGTCCTTCACATACTTGTTAGCTGATCATTGCATTCCCTCCACGAACACACGGTGAATAAATTTTGAATCACTTCCTCTTGCTCTTTCTTTGCCAATACAGTTTGATTTTTCCTCTTCAGCCCGCTCCATTTAACTTTTCTCAGAACAAGTGTTGTTCAGGTTTTGGTTCACTCACAATATTCAGCATCGTCACACATTTTCTGACATTTGCTATGCAGAATTTTGATTACTCACGTCATAGAGGATTTTCCTATTAGAAACCACTGAAACAGTAGGGCTCCAGCATCTTGTTGGCAGACAGTAGATGGTGCCGTTCAGTTCTATGAAATGTCTCTGCAGCATCTGATGCATCTCATTTGTCTTTGTGATTTAGATGGCTTTGGGGTGCATAAGTGAGTGTCAGCAGAGCGATGAAGTTAAATAAGAAAAGTGCATTTTTCTTAGAGTGTTTCATAGATATCGCGCATTACACTTTCTAATACTACCGCAGTCTCCTGTGTCAGTGAGGATTAACTTTTATGGAGTGATCAAAGAAAAGCTATGGCAGGTTTTTAAAATTGGATTTTCTTCTTCTTCTGTTATTGCCATAGTTTTCATAGCAGTTATAAAAAATAATGCCGACTCTGAGAACCCATCATAGAATATAAAAGCACTCTGCAGATATAAGAATGTTGGTTAAAAAAAAAACTATGGTAGGAATTGACTGCTGTTCTGTAACAGAAGATGGACTGAATTATAAATTATACTACATTTGCACATTTTGCATCTTGCACGTCTTCGTCCTGTCTCGTCTACAATATCATGACAATAACTTGAACCTGGTATTCAATACCTACTGCACTATCCATTTTGTATTGTTTCTGTCCTGTCTTTGTTTATTGTACAGTTATTGTACAGTTAACATTATAGTATTTCATAGTATTGTATAGTTAGTAATTAGTACCATTTTATCCCTTAATTTTACTGAAATTTTGCACATTATTTATTTGTAATTCCTAGTTTTAAATCTCTTGGAGATATGTTTTTTATATTCTTATAATTACATCAATGGGTGCTTGGGTGAAGCAGCATTTCGGTACACGGTAAACTGTTGTATTGACAATAAAGCTCTTGTTCAGGGGTTCAGCTGCTGTCCTGCAGTTTTTAGATGTGTCCTTGATCCAACACAGCAGATTGAAATGGCTGAGGTACCTCCTCAACATGTCTTGAAGTTCTCCAGAGGCCTGGTAATGAACTAATCATTTGATTCAGGTGTGTTGACCCAGGGTGGGATCTAAAACCTGCAGGACACCGGCCTTCGAGGCCTGGAGTTCGAGACCCCTGGTTTAGACCATATACCTCCTTTCCAGTCAGAAGCTGAACATGCTATTAGCCATTTAAAGCCCGAACCATGAAATGATTGCTGGAAAATTCTATTTTTTAAAATGGAGTGCTTATTAAACCTTTTGGCATTTTAAAAAATGTTTGGCTTTTCTGGGCAATTTGTTGGTTAAAAATTTATTCTGCAATTTATTTGTGTTTTTTTAGGGGGGAAAATCACACTGATCATGTAAAAGTAAAAACAAGTCATGTATGTACATGACACACTCGGCGTTAAGAGGTTAGTAGCTGGAGAACTGAGTTAGCAGAAAGGGTTACTTTTGTTATTTGTTTCTATTCTCTCATCATTTTTTAAATGAGGCGTCTTCATAGAGTTTCTTTTGTTTAAAGTACGAACGACCCATTTTCCCTTCACTGGAACATAAAGTCTTGGCTTTCCCTTTGTGAGGAGTTCTCCTTAACCAGATGTGTGTCTACATGGTTCGAACGTGTGAGTATGATGGTGATCCTGTTGAACTGCGTTACCCTGGGAATGTACCAGCCCTGTGAGAACATCGACTGCTCCTCAGACCGATGCCAGATACTACAGGTACAACACAAACGTGCACGAAATCCACCCCTAGCTTGTAGCAACATCCCATATAGTCTCAAAGGAACTGCATGTGTGCTCTTAACAGTGCCTTGTGTGTGTGCTGTTTTGTTTTTATGCAATTATTTCATATGAATTCTACTTCCTATGGACACATGAACATGTGATTCTGATAAAAATATGTTTGATCCCATAGATGTCTGTTAAGTAAAGCAATACAGACTCTTTTCTTTTGCTGCTTGGAGACGAGTTGTGTTTAGATGCATAGTCTCTCTCATGAGGTCCATTCTGAGCCAGGAAAATCCCTCTGATAACATAAATATTCCTTTTAAAGTGTTGTATGAGCTAGCAGGTGTTGAGGGACCTTTTTAAAGGGTCCTAAAAGTCAAAGGGACCAGTTAGACTGGTTTATGTTCTGTATATTTGATTAGAATCTCGACATACACGGTCATAGTGCAGAAAAGAAGATAGAAACACACACTGATACATCCAAACTCAGCTTTATCCCAACCTTACCTCATTTGCCCATCATGCTCTTCTTCCCCCCATGCTGGGCAGTGTAACTGCTTGCACTGACTCACTGCTAGCTTGCGGTCTTTATGCTGCAGCGAGCATGACTCTGTCATGTATGGCACCTCTGCAGCTTCACTTATCATTTGGCAGGACACCGAATCCCTTCTCACTTATGTCAAAGGTGGCTCGAGTGGGTATAACATTTGTGGTAGAGCCTGCGCACATATGCCTTCCGTCTGCCGGGGCAAAGAGCTTGCTGAATCACACGCAATGCACACGAGGCACTGCGCACATCATATAGCATAGCAGCAAACGTAGACGCACACAGTAGATTGATTCAAGTGTCTGTGGGGGGGTGGGGGGTTGTTGAGTTGGATCTAATAGAATTTCTCCTCCAAGTATCTATAGACCCTTTTCAGTATGAGCATGGATTTAGTGGGCTACAGCCCCGCAGTCAATACGCTGCTCTCAGAAAATCTACTGTTCAATAACACGATCTCCATGCTGGCTCAGCAGCGAAATCTATAAGCTCTAACAAATGTGGGCTGAGAGACCTTTGGAGGCTTAGGAGGCCACTAGCAGACATTGTTGGATGATGGATGAGTGCAAGTCCATTGTTGTGCAAAAGTCTTGAGCTAACTCTCCTCTCTTTGGAATTTGCTTCCAAGGAGCAGAGTTTCTTCTGGTTTGGGGTAATAATTCTCCAGGTTTTCTGAAGTGTTTCAAAGTTTTTATTGTACCTGACCATTTCCAGAGGAATGTGTTTTGTTTGTTAGCCCACTTAACACTGACTGAATCGTTCAACGTTAAAGAGTTGAATAAGGTTCATTTATAAATGGTGTCATCTTTGCATCATTCTGCTCTTTAGCACATCCATTGCTCAGAACTGTTAATAAAACTATATGGGATTTTTTTAAACAATTCTAACAGTGTCTCAGACTGACAGTGCTCTCCAGTCGGTGGGTCCCAACCTTTGGTTCCTTGTGAAATATCTCCGTATCTAATTCACAGTTTTCCATGATATTGGCCTATTTTCGTAAAGCTTCTTAGTCACTCTAAGGCTACGTCCACACGTACACGGGTATTTTTGAAAA